AGGCAGTAGCTGGGCAGTCACGTGGCTCATGTCGTTGGTGTTCCCGCTCAGGAGTCGGCCCTTCATTGCCTGGTGTTCTGTCTTGGAACTGCTGAGTCATGTTTGTTCACTACGGGAGGGACACCCCGGCCTGTCCCTCCGCATCGGGGTGAGGCCGCCTGCTCTCTCCCCAGCCCCCGAGAGCCTGATGCAGGCCCTGGAGGACCTGGACTACCTTGCGGCGCTGGACAACGACGGGAACCTGTCGGAGTTTGGCATCATCATGTCCGAGTTCCCCCTGGACCCACAACTCTCCAAGTCGATCCTCGCGTCCTGCGAGTTTGACTGTGTAGACGAGATGCTGACCATCGCTGCCATGGTAACAGGTACCCAGGACTCTTGTTTTGTGAATCTGCACAGCTAGAGCTTTAGAGGAGATCAGGTTGAAGTGATAATATTGTAATAGATGGAAAGGTAGAAAATTGTAACCATTATCTTAGTATGAAAAAGCCTAAATCATAGCTAGTGAATTTCTTAATCTAACAGGTGAAAGCACACCAGATTAGCTTTTGCTGAAGTCAGTGCAGATCAAGAAAAATTTGAAGAAAATGTGTCACTAGACATGTTCTGCCCACATGATGATGTGTGTGCGTGGCTTTCCTTCCCACACCTCTGTCCCGTGGTCTGTGTGCTTGAAGTTATGCTTTAAAGGCAGACAGACCAAAGGCTGTGCGGCATGAGAACCTGGGTTCTAATCCTGCGCCTGCACCGCCCTGGGAGCGCCCGCCCCCACTCCCGCTGCAGCACAGCCGTGTGACCAGCAGACTGAGAAAGACAAACATAAACAAGGAGACACACATATGACACCCCCTGAGCCCCTTGGTGCCCGAGTAAAAGGGAAAACTAATCAGTCAGAGTAAGACTGACAGCTACCAGCCCGAGAGCTGTGCTACCGAAATGTCTCCTCACTGCTGCCCTGGCCCTTCTGTCTTCGAGCTCCCAGCTGCTTCTCGCATCTGCCGCGTGGAGCTGAGGAGGCTGCCCTGACTTGTTGGAAGACATTTCTACATCCCGAAGGCGATCACTTTACCCTCATCAATGTTTACAAGGCCTACCAGGACGCAGCTCTGAGCTCCGCCAGCGAGCGTAAGTGGGGCTTGATTCTCAGGGTCACCCGCGGAGCCCCCTTTCCGTCCCCCAGGAAGCTGAGTAACTGGTCAAACACCCTCTCTAGGCCTGGTCACGGCGGTGGAGTGGGCTTGAGGCCCTCAGTGCACCCGTAGGTCTCTGCCGAGCAGAGAAACTCACTCCTGCTCCCAGAGCTCTGGCAGCTGCGGGCTGTGGGGCTGCGGGCCGGCCGGGACTGGAACCCAGCGTTCAGCTCGGCCACGTTCAGAGGGAGCTGCTGGGGGCAGGATGACACCGGGAGACTTGCACAGCTCCCGCCTCTCAGATTTTTGGGGAAAAAACAAGGACCTGCCATCTCTCGGTGCCCTGGGTCACAGCTGTGCTCCCTGCTGTCCACAGCCTGGCAAATCCCTGCTGGACGGAGAGGCTATGGGGCAAAAGCAAAACAAACCCCCTCCAGATAACAGTGGACAGGCCGGTGCTGAGATGCTGGGGAGAACAGGGCTGGAGCTTGGCAGAGGGAGGCGAGGGCAGACGAGGGGAAGTGGGAGCGGGTGGGGGACCGGAGTCCTGAAGCATGGAATGGTGCCTGCAGCAGCAGATGAGGCAGAAGTTACACGGGGCGGGCCATTTGGCAGCATCTTCGAGAGCCGGCAGGATGGGGGCCAGGTGCATGCTCTTGTTGCTCTAAGTGGTCCTGCATGGATAGAACAGGACCCACCACGCCAAGGCCACACACTGGTCCACAAGGTAACTGTAGGTGGCAAGAAAGAGTGACTTCAAGCTGCACCAGGTACAGATATTGTAATGTACCCTTTGCAGCAGGGTAGCTTAACTCTAATGTAATTCCCAGATCCACCAAAAGTAATCTTTCTCTTATAATAAACTAGAGGCCTGGTGCACAATCAGGGCCAGGGAGGGACCACGGGAGGGCTCTAGGGCGTGACTTGCCCAGTCTCAATCGGCCAGACCCTAGCACGAAGCTAACCTACCGGTCGGAGCATCTACGCCTGCCCCCCAGCCCCCGGTGGTCAGTGCGCATCATAGTTACCGGTCGAACGGTGGCTTCGGCTTTTCCATACAGAGATGGAACATGTGTTCCCTAGACCAGAGGACTCCACTGTGAGCCCCTCCTGTCCTGCTCCGATTGGCTGGGACCATGCCATCCTGCTGCACACAACAGACACACAAGGACTCGGGCAATGCCCTCTGCCCGTGAGCCAGACAGGCGACAGCTTCCGGTCCACGCTAGGAGCACGTGGCCTCCAGTTCATGGGGCCGTGGAACCCCCTGAACGCGCTGGCCAGTGCAGGTTCTTCCTGGCAGGGCCAGAGGGCCCACCTCGCTGCCCAGAGGTCCATCCTTGCTGCCTCCCGCACGCACCATGTGACCTCCTCAGGGCAGGGAAGCAGAGGAGAGCGCCTTCCTGGCCAGGCCCTTGCAGACGCACCGCGACCCTGACCCCGTGCCCTCCCCGCAGACTGCGTGGAGAAGTGGTGCCACGAGCGCTTCCTGAACTGCGCCGCCCTGAGGATGGCGGGGGGCG